GTAAACCGACCCAACCCGACTCGTAAACTGCCCTAATAAAGGTTAATGGGCTGCACTTTGACCCAGCATGCTTTATTCCCACCCGTGTAATAAATACATGTGTATAGTATAGATAGAGAAAAGAAGATGAAGAAGAAAAAGTGAATAAAGCAAGAAAAGGGAAAAATAAATAGATTTGGTTTTTCATATGTTGGTTTGGATTCTCCGAATGTGAAGTCAAAGGTAAAATTCATCATCATATAGTAAAAAGATAAGAAAACTAAAAAGAGAAATAAAATACATTCATAATTTCATATGAAATGAAGACCTAAAGCTTGTTATGGACCTTAGACCCTCTTTTGTTAGTGGGTTGAATGGTCTAATCTTCCAGACAAGACTGTCATATATAAATGTACATGATTACAAGTATATCCCCGACCAAGGTGGTGGTCTTATATGCTGTCACATGATTTCCTTGTTCGGAATTTTGACTCTTGTTGTTTCAAGTAATTTAAAATTGAAGATAAGATGGGAAGGAAGAGGTAAGATGGTGGGGCTATTGTTTTTTTTTTCATTTTTGTTTTTCTTTGTTACTTTTTTTTTCATTTTAAATGGAAATATGATGGTACAATTAATAAAAATATACCTCTATCAATAGATGTGTCAGGATTTGGATTGGACTTGTTTGAAGTAAAATCAGTTTGAACAGTTGGACATATCGGTCCAGTCTTAGTGGTCCAAAGTATTTATTGGACTGGATTGGACCCGGTGTATAAATAGTGAATTTATATTAGATTGGGTTGGATTGAACCAATATTCAATCCATTGACAGAAGATAAGAGTGTGAGTGTGTGAATGGAGCAGGTTTAGTTGGATGACCCAATCTAAATCGAAACCAAATTAAACAAATTGGACGGTTGAAACATTAAATTGAATTAATTCAAAATGTTCCAAAGCATTCATCATATTGGGTTGGATCTGATCCGTCTACAATAAACTCATTAGACCAGGTTGAGTGAGACCAATCTCCATTCCATTGACTGCCTTACACCCTTACCCACGGTATCAAATTAAGGTCATATTTGCCATCAGTCCATACATGGCACGGATAGGGTTTTTATAGTTCAGTCCACCCCTAGGGTGGAGTTAGGATTTTTAGGGATAGACTGAATCTATCCATGAATTGATGCCAAATTTACAAGCAAGATATGATTTATAAAAAAGCTACTAATAGATTAAAAGGAGGCTGGAATTCAGATTTTTGAAGTGAATTGCAATTCACTTATCCCAATTATTTATTCTTTACTCCATCCATTTTTTTTTCCAATCTCCATTGGTATGGAAAGGGTGGGTTAAACTATTTGCATTTGCTAAAAAATATGGGTTGAAACAATGATTCCTGGTTCATACTCTGATTGAAGTGTCATCATTGACATTGAATATATATGTGTCACTTGAAATGTTCTATTTAGACAAATGCTCAGGGGGGGCCCAGGAACATCACTTTAGCTGGTCCCAAGCGAGCGATTTGACCATCCAAACATGTCAATGCTCAACCAAAGCCGTGTTCTGGATGGGTTAGATGCTAGAGGCTGGTGGGAAATGATGATCCACGGGACGGGACCGGCTAGATTCACTGTTTTAGTCTTGTTTTTTCTTATACCTGCTATATATTTATGTTGTAGATTTGTAGTAATGTTTTTTAATCATTTCGTTTATAAATCGAATTGGTGGTATTGGTTTTTTCAATTTTCTAAACCGAAATTGAATTGGTACCATTAGTTAATCGGTTTATCGGTTTCGATTTTTGATCGGTTTGGTTCTTCGGTTTTTTATATATAATATATTGTATATAAATATATGTATAATATTATATTATAAATAATAAATGACATATAGTATATTATAAATATTTGAAAAATATATAATACATATAATATATTTATAAATAGATCATTATAAATATAATATAAGTATATATTTATATATAATACATAGAAAATATGTGACATATATTAAAAATATATAAAATATACATAAAAATACATATACTGATCGGTTCGGTTAACCGCATTTTGTGGTTCGGCTTTCTTGATTCGGTTCAATTTTTTGGTTTTTCATGGACACCCCTAGTAGGAGCCATCATTTGCCTCTCGCTAGACTTTGGCACATAGTCAAATGGGGCAATGGGCATTTTTTTAGGAAGAATGACTGTTCACCCTATCTCATAATTCTTAACCCTACCATATAAGTGGGATGAATCTTGATGATGGATTGATGTCAAATCCATGGGTAGGATGCGATTTATAGGGGGAGCTATTAGTAGACTATGAGGGAGCTGTAATTTCAGAATTCTACAGTGTATTTCTCCATTTTTTTTATACTAAAAAAGGAAGTATTATAATACTAAAACATCTATAGACACTGATTCATTGGGTAGTTGGGCGTTAAATCGACCCCTCTGAACCGGTTTAAAAAAATACTAATACAATCAGACCGACGTGTCGGCTTGTATCAATACTTTGCACCTTGAGTTATCCAAATATAATAAGTCTTGATTCAAGTTTTTTGCCCTTTGGGGGATGGAGTGAACTGAGCGATTGAAAATCCTATTCATAAGGGCAATGGGTAATGATTCTTCCTTTTGTCTTTTTTCTTTCTTTTCTCTTTCTCATGGGGTTGCACAACTAGGGAGGGGTATTTATGGTTCGATAAATTGAACTGTGTATATATTTTCGAAAGCAAATTGGTCCCTTTGGTTTTTTGCATTGTCTTGTATCAAAACCAAATCGAATTAATTGTTTGACCGATTCCTTTGCTCCGACTTCATTCGTTTTGTTTTGTTTTTTTTTTAATGAACACCCCCACTGGGGGTTGGCCATCCCCAAACCCATGACACCTTAGGATTTGATTCCAAATCTTTGGTATAACCAGCCTGTTGGGAAATGGGGTCATTGAAATTTTGGAGGAGAAGCTCTGAGGCGCGTCTAAAGACACTGTCTTTAAAACGTTATTTGCCCCCACTCAATTACACTGAGTTTGCTGTTGGGTTATAGGCAAATCCATTCCCAAGATACAATAGAGCCTTGGGCAAGAATCTGCAACCAACAAAGTTGAAGAGTCTTCGAATAAACCTTCTGTGAGACTGTAGCAAACCGGATTGAGAGAGAGAGAGAGAAAATGAATTTCGAAGTTGTGTGTGAAATGTCTTATTTATACTCCTTAAATAGTTTTTGAAGAATTATGAAGAAAAGGTAGGTACTGGTTTAGAAAATGCACATTTAACAGTTATAATTTAAAAAATTGTGACTGTTTAAAAGGTAATTAATAATAAATGACGCTAATTTTGAATTGTACCTCTTGATCACACCAGATTGAATCGTGACCAATGAACCTTGAATACATAGGGAAGATTTGAATTCTGAAAATCCAACCAATACAGGTTTTGAGAAGGGTACAGGTTAAAACCCAAACCCCTACCAGTTTCCATTGCTCTCCCTAAACAGTCCATAGACTGTCTTTCGAGTCTTTGACTTCAGCTATTTGATCCTTATATCGGATATGTGTTTATAGAAGGTACTGAGGTCGCTTCACCCTTGCTATGCGTATGCGTGGAGCTTCAGCTTCCGCTACGCCACGCCGTACCCAAAGCTCTATTGCTTTAAAAGATTCTCTAACAAATTGTACTCTCCCGTCCATCCGGCCAACACGCTTATCGCTTATGCCGCTGTTATCGAGGGATAACTGCTTTCAACCTTGAATGAACTGTTTTCACAACACTTTCCAATTACGTTATTGCATGCAACCGTTGAATAATAACGCTTTTGGCTCGGTGTTCCCTCTAGGTCAAACCATATAAATGGTAGGCATTAGACAAGCCAACTTGCAATTAGAGAGAAAAATAAAGGATCAAAACAGAGCACGACACTTATCAACCTATCTCTCACTTCTCTAGGACTCTATCTACGAAGGAGATGTCATTAAAGAAGCTTGTAGACCTTTCCATTCCTCTCTTCTCAAATCCCACTTTCATCGGGTCAAAACTCATCTCACAAAAGTGCCTTTAAACAAATTCCAACCAACCCACAGTTTGACAAGCCCGTCTACTGACTTGCGTACATGACTTCCCCTTATTCTACCCCACAATCGTTCCACTAATCCATATTCCACCATAATTTGTGAGGATGATTTCTTGGCTGAGTTGGTGGACCATATGACAACTATGAACGCATCATGCCACTTGGTATTATTTATCAGGACTAAGTTGAAACCTTTTTTTCATTTGATGTTAGGTGTGGCTGGTTATGTTGGTATTCAAAGTTCAAAGAACGCCTTAAGTCTGAAAAGTAAAAGGTAAACAAGATTTGATTTTCAAGTGGCAATATAATGTTAGATGCAATGGAATCAAGAATTTATAACTATCGTTTGATTTTATTATCTTGATGAGTATTGTTGATTTTGGGTGATTATGATTGTTCTAAGTAGATATTAATTTTAGGGAGAATGACTGTTCAGTTAAAATTCTTAATTTTATTGTATATTGGAGTAGATGTCAGTTCAGAATTGATGTCAATCATTTCAATCATTAATTAATTCAGATCAGTTAATTCAACCATTTCAATCAAAGGAATCTAACTCGCAATACAATCAAATTGCTAATCCATTGAATTGATCATATGGGTCAATGGATTATAGATCAATCTATAATATTTTTTTTTGGGTGAAATAGCATATTGGAGGTTGACCCAAATCGGCATCATGGCTGGTTCATAGGGTTACTGTTCCGACCAGCAAGGTCAACGACGGACTGTACCTAAACAATTATATGTAATTTGAAACAAATGAAACAGCTATTCATGAAATATAGGAAAAAATGATTATAAAACTGGCTTTATATATACAGAGAGAACAATAAAAAAAGTGGTCGTATACTCATATTAGCAGAGAACACGAGAAGAGGAATTATATGTTATGCCTCTTTTTTTAATACATCAACAATCGACGATTGTTATATGTAATAACATGATTGGAAATCAATACTAGAGGCGGTTCTTCGGCAACGAGCACACGCTCCGAGTCAAAACAAAAAAGAGAGAAAAGCGAGCCAAGGCACAGACGCTGAACGTTGAAGAAACACACAAGCACACGCACCTCTCTCTCTCTCTCTCTCTCTCTCCCCGACTGGAAGACAGAACAAATATCTGCTTTCTATCTAAAATTTTCGCTCATTTTTAACCATTCGAACAATGCGAATGGTCTGATCCTCCCTCCCCCCCCCCCTCTCTCTCTTTCTCAGACAGTTATTCCCCTATATCTATCTGTATAGTGAGAACACAAAGAAAAGAAGAAAGAATGGAATCACCAGAGTCGTCTTACGTTTCTTCTCCTGATGTCGCGCCCAAGCGATCCGTACCACCTAAATCTCCGACTTCAGGTAAGACGTCTTCGAAGCGCATTTGCTTGTCCTGTAACTTCCATTGTTTTATTACTCCCATGGAGATCTGTTCCTTCTGATCTGGTTTCTATCATCGGGCCCATAGCTTTTCAATTTTAGTTTCTTACATTTTTGGTTTTGTTTTTTTTGTTTTTTTTTCCGGTAGAAATTTTCCTGTTTGTGAAACCCTAACGTTTACATATCTTTTAGAAGTTTTTAATGGGAAAGAATTGACCTCGTGGATAGATAATTGCTCTATCATGTCGGGAACCTGAGTATGTGAATTAGTGAAGTTTCCAAATGATATTGTTTCATTGAATTTGAAAAATGTAAGCCTCTGTGTTATACTTTGTTGAGATGAACGATGCGAGCTTCGATGAGAAATGCGGATTCATTGGCTCTTTCGGTTTCGTATTATTAGTGTGGTAATTTTGTTGTGCTCGACAGAAATTTACGATTTTTGTCACGCTTGTTGTATTCGGGTTAAGCGGTTTATGTTAGAATTAAAACATGTTAATGCAGCTTCAGGGAATGTTTTTGGTATGTTTACCGTTTTAGATCTAGCTGGTCGACCTGGAGCGAGCAGAGCATGGATCGGCATTAACTGACGCAATACATATGTAGATTTTGAGAAATATAAGATGTGTCGAGCAAAACAACCTTCTCAGAGAAGAAATTGAAAGAAAAATGAAACCTTGCTGATGTTAAATGGACAATCCTTTATCTTTCACTGAACAATGCATGTGATACATGCGGCGATGTATCAAGCTTAGAAAAAGTTGTAATTTCTTCACCTTGCTGATATTGAATGCCTTATTTTAGAAGTCAAGCATGATGCCCCTGTTAATTCAAATGCTTTGGCTTTAACAAGGTATTTGTAGTATGCAGAATGCAGTGATCTTCTTCAACATGATATAGCTCCAATTTTGACATTTTTTTTTCATAAAAAAGTAAAAAAAGGAAAAAATTTGGAATTAAGAAGATCACACACATAGTGCAATTAAAGATTACTAACACTCATTTCAATTGTTTTATATGTATTGTTATAAGTATCTTTACCTTAAAATAATTCGTCCTGTATAATACATTTTCCTTCTATTTGATTGCGTCCTTAATATATTTCCTTTTACTGTAAAAAAACTGCTTTTAGAATGGTGAAATGTTTTTGCAATTCCAATTGTTTTATGCAGCTTTTTGTGGAGACAAATGAGAGGTATCTTCTGTCTATTAAGATTGTTATTGGAGGTAAAAATCATGGTTGGAAGCATTAGGTGTGTAGAGAATTATAATTGTATGAATTGTAGATTCTATGGACAGGAAAATAAATATGTAAAAGCTAAGAAGTTTTAAAGATAGAGAAACCCAAGGGAGCCTCAAACCATCAATGGCCATGTAACTATAAGAGCGGCTCTTTGGGTTGTTATTAGAGAAGTCAAGGCAATCTTAATTGACTAGATTATTAGGGGTTGGCAGGCCATTGCTGCTCATGCCATTAACAAAATCCTCTACAACAGGTTTGGATTCCATGGCACCATGTATTTAAAATAGAAATTTGTTAGCTCTTATTTTGGGAACCAATGTCCTTTGGGCATTTCTAGAAAGCAACAGACTGAACAGAGATGTAGTGGTGCATTCTGGTCCTATAAGGGCAAGAGATTCTTTAGGGGACAAAATATTGGTCTTGTTCATAGGCTGAGTGAAATATGCTTCAGTTTGTGATTTATCAAAAAAAAAAAAAAAGCTTCAGTTTGTGAAAGATCACATACAGTGTTGACAAATTGGTTTTGGCTGGATGGCCCAATTCAGAGGGGAACTTTGGTCTCTACAGCACTTTACCAAAGTGGTTAGATCTTTGGATTCTTGATGGAGCAGCTTCTTTGGAAAGGATCATAAAACTGCCAATTCTTTATCAAACAGTTTGCTCAAGAAGGTTCACAGTGGTTGTCCCTTCTAGGGAGTACCCTTTAAGGGTTGAGATTGTACTCTTTGTATTTTTGAGTGATTAGTAGTCTCCATATTGTACTTTTTTCCCTTGTTCTCCTTGCCCATGAAATTCTTTTGATTTATTACTGTTAAAAGGAAGAGGAAAAAAGAAACTAGAAGTACATGTCAGGGGTTATAATGATAAGAGCAACAATGATAATGAGTGCCATCTTTATAAAAAAATCTTTGATTGAATTAGTTATAGTAAGAGCAATAAAAAAAATTGGTCACAGTAATAGTGATTCATTGGGTTCAAACTAAATAGGAAATAGTGTTCAGATTTAATGGGTATCCTTGTAGGATGGCAGCATGTGGCTTCATCATCTACAAGAAGTGATAGATCTCAAGTAGACTAGAAGCCTCCTGAACAAGACCATACAAAGCTAAATTTTGATGGCTGCAGTCTGGAAAATCCAGGAAGATCAGGTATTGGAGGGCTTTTCAGAAATAAATCTGTCAAGTTCTTGGTGATATAATTTGGCAGTTAAGAAATGATCTCAGGCGATTCAAGCAGGCTTCTAAAGAAATGCTGATTCAAATACGGTGGATTAGAAGGTCAGCTAACAGCATGGCTGATGGCCTTACTAAGCAAGGAGTTCAAAGACAATCTATGTTTTGGGCTATGCTGTAGTTAGTGTATCTATTTAGGGTTACCTTTGGGGCAGTGATGTAATCAAAGGAATTGTCCTTTGGAGTCTGTTTGGGGCTGTGATATAATTAGTGGGATATATTGGACTTTTTGTCCGCCCACAACTTCTTGTTGTACATAATTTTTTAAGTTAATGAATCTATTTTGTGTTGCTTATCAAAAAAAGATTCTTGGTGATATACTCAGGTCCAATTAGAAGGGGAACTAGGTATGTGCAGAATTATTTTCCCTACTATAAGGATTGAGGTCAGTCAAAGTGTTAAGTTATTGAAAACCTTTCAGTAAAGGTGGTGCATTGGATAAAAAATTTAGATGTTGTTGCACCTTTCTCCATGGATGACATCATTGGAAGATGGCAGTAGGCTAGTTTGTCATCCCATAAACCTAGTACCTTCTCCATGGATGCAGGGAGCCTAGTAGATGTGTAACATGTGGTGAAGACTCAGAGGGAGTGGAACATCTATTCATACATTGCAAGTATGCAAGGGAGCTGTGGTCATTGAGGCTGTTTGGGGTGCAGTTCTGCTTCCCAAAAGGACTGATGGAGTTACTACGGTATGGTGCTGGAATCTAGCTGGTCTGTCTAAGAAAGGCAAAGTTATTTGGGTAGTTACTCCACCAGCTGTGCTGTGGGTCAATCTGGATAGAGAGAAACAGGAGAAGTTTTGAAGACAAGTACAACACAGTAGGATCAGTAATGAAAGGTTTTTGGGGTAGAATATACTCTTGGTTGGCATCACAAAGACTTCTCAAGAATATGCCATACAGTTCTTTTTTTGTTATCAGTAATCTTTTTGTATCTACTTGATTGAAATGGGTTTTTGGGATGTACAAGAAAATTCCGATCCCTGCTCAGTGCCTTATTATGCGGGGCTATGTATTTATTTGTTTTCCTTATTAATGAAATACATTACCTTTTCTCGAGAAGAAAGTGTGGTGTTCACTAGCCTTGAATGAAATCAAATTGAATTTTGAAGGCTGTAGCATGGGTAATACTGGCAATTTTGGCATATGGTGGAACACGATTCATGCAGCTAACCCCATGTGGTTGGGACAGGGCTTAGATGATGATGATGATGATGATTAAGAGGAGTAGTAGTTTTCATAAAAGTGATAAGGCTATCTTAGCCATCGATTCAGAGCCCATAGGTGTTTGAGATTCTACAAGTGTTCAATTATTAACTTACTTACAAGGACCGAGGTTGCACTTCTCTAAACTCCAGGAATATGATGGTGGAAGCCTGGAAAGGGACATTTAGGTAGTAGTGGTTTGACCAAGGATTACCAGCCAAGGATTATGGCAATGCTGGCATTATGACAGAAATCAAACATCTGTCAAGGTTGTCATCCTCTCACCCCAAAAAAGGTTGCCATCTGTTCTCATAATCTCTTCTTTTTCAGGTTTTAATCAAACTCTTCTTTATTTACCACAAAAAAGCATAAACTGTTAAAAATAGAAAGAAAGATTAACCATTCGAGGATAATCTTAGGTTCTAATTAGATGGATGGAGACCATTGATTCTGGCTTCTGGATATATTCACATGCAATAAGAGAGGGTAGATCCTCAGTGCCTTGTTCAAGTGGGCTCTGAGATCATCTAACTTTGTAGAAGATTCTTTGTCAAGGGAAGGAGTAGATTAGAGAAGTGCTAAAAATAGCAGGCTGACAAACTTGGGAACACTGTGTTAATTGATAAAATATGCCCTAAAAAAATGGTTATGTTGGTCTTTTAGGGTGTGTGTGGACTGAAATAAATGCTCAGATATTTGAGCAGTCAATTAATGATGAGCAGGTGGTCATGAGGAGAATTAAGAAGAAACTGTTTTCATGGTTATCTGCTCACAAGGAATTCAGAGGGGTGGCTTGTGAATCATTTTTTCAAGGGAGCATTTTTGTTCTCTGCTTAATGTATTGTTAATATCTTGCTAACAGGAATGTGTATAGGCCATAGCACCGTATAAGGATGTACAAGCTAACTGATGTAATATCTTTTTGAATAGCAATGCAAATTTACTTTACCTGTTCAAAAAAAAAAAAAAAACACTGATCCTACATCTACCCAATTTATTTATGCTATTATCAAGTCACACTTGTTCTAAACTCTTTGACTTTTGTGCGTACTTTGTTAAGTCTGGACCATTTTTTGATAATCAAGATAAAACTTTATTAGAAGAAAAATGAAAATACAAGAAAAGGTGATAAATAATCATCTAAAAGAGTAAAATCCAAAACGAAGGAATCCAAGCACCCCTTGATAATGGTCAACCGTACAATCAACATTGATAACAAAGTATAAAATCTCATATAGGAAAGACAGAAATTTTACTCTAAAAATCCACTATGTACCAATCTCTACAGTAATTTACCATGTGGAATCCCTCCATTCAGGATACACAGTCACACCCCACACTCCTGATTAACTGATGTCACTCCTGAACAAACCAACCACCTACCTCTTACAACATTGATTGCTATAAAACCTTCATCTCCCCTGCTTAAACCAAATTCTCAGTTTTCAATTTATCTGCCCCTTCACCTCACAAAATAAAAAATTCTCATTGCTCAGATAATAAAGTTCTGAACCATTTTATCCTTGGACTCACTCCCCTCCAGTCTCCAAATGAAGTGCTCTTTTTATAATGGAACAATAATGATTGGATCTAATGTTTTAAACTATTAATGGTTTTAGATCTTGATATTGATGGATAGAAAGTTTCAGAATAATGACAGTAGTGCCAATACAGAGAAGATGAACTTTCTAAACTGTAATTTGGAGGCATTATTACATTGTGGAATATTTAAGCCATTGAAAACACCATTTAATAAGTAGAAGGTTAGGGGATTGCTTTATGCTTTACACAGTGATCAGAAGATGATATTTCTGACCATCTAAATCTAATAATCATATGCACATACACATGATAAACTTAAACTTGAACAAATTATTGTCCTAAAATGCCATATGGAATTCTAAGGTAGATCCAAGTCATCATCCCTCAATTCTTTCAACCATATAATATTTTTTTTGGAAGGTGAAGTATCCTTGTAACCATCTTAAACTAAGCTTAGCTTTATTAAAGTGGCCATACTTGCTAGTTGCTACTTCTACAAAACATGTTTCATGTCTCTACATGCAGTTAATTTGAATATCTCAAGGATGTATTCTAGGCCAGTGTTGTATCCCATGATGTTCCTCTCTTGAAGTGAGAACTACTGCTGATGGTATTAGCTATTGCAAGTGTTATGACTTCAAATTTACATTTTTCAACCCAAAATTCATTAGAAAAGACTATATTTTAAACTTGAATCATGGCATAACCACTTGAATCCATTCGGTAAATCTCAAGTCTGAAAAGCAAAAAAATATCTGAAAAGGCTCTGAAAGCAATCTGAAAATTTGTTTTTCTACTTTTGCAGATATCTGAATATAGTGGAATTGTCCAGTAATTTGGATGTTGTGACATCTGAAAAAAGTACATCTTACAATATTACCCTTCAAATTGTTATTTAAATAACAACAAATGAAAATGGTTAAAGTATTATGGAAAATATTTATAAAATAATAAAAGAGGTTATTAAATAATATTAAAAATATTAATAAAAGTAATTGACCTCCTCCTTCTCTCTGCAAATAAACCAACACAATAGTGTACAGGACACTTCAAAAGATAATATGCAAAACAATCTGCTGAACCAGAAACTGACTTTTTCTTTTGTTTTTTGGTCTTCTTTTCCACATAATTAACTACTAGCAAAGGCATCTACGAACAAAACGCCAATTTGAAACCTCGAAAAATCAGAAACTGAGGTAGAATATCAGGACTGTACCACCTGCAAGAAGCAGAATAGCTATTCAGCCATTGGCGAGAAGTGAAAACACCAATTTGAAACCTTGAAAAATTAGAAACCGAGGTAGAATATCAGAGGACTGTACTACCTGCAAGAAGCAGAGGAGCTATTCAGCCATTGGCAAGAAGCGATGCGATGGTGAATCCAAGAAGGTTTGCTCGCATAAGAAGCTTGGCGAAGAGAAACAATGATGATAAATGGAGACGGTGATTGAGAAAGGATAACCACATTCTCCCTGTTGCAGGTTGATTGCAGAGGGAAGGAGACGGAGGAGGAGGGGGAGTTCTAGATTTTTCAAATTCATAAAGGGTACAGTGGGAAAACAAATTTTGTCGGTTACCTCTGAATGCACTCGGAGGTAGGTCGTCCTCTTAACAAATCCAAGGCATTTTCAGAGTTTGGAGGGTCGATTCAGAGGTGCTATCAAATGATCACAAAGCACCGGAAAGCAAGAATTTTAGCATTTAGAGCTCAGTTCAGCTACCAAACACCACCTAAGATCATTTTGTGGTTGCTAATGGTATGTTTCAGTTGGTTCTACATGGACTTTGCTGTAAAGGAAATTGAGTCTCCATGAGTTGTAGGACTCTAGGGTCCAAAATTTGATTCTGCAATTTATAGTTAAGATTACTGTTAGAAATGGAATAAAAATTCAATCAAATGCTAAGGGAGACTAAAAATGATTAGAAAAATGGGAGATTGAAATCCAATTCTCCCTAGTGGGTTTGTTTTATTGACAACAGCATAAATACTTGAATACATCCATTAGTTTTGGCCAAACTCTAGTTACTTCATTTGTGCTCTGAAGATTTTTTACAAGATGAGGCCATCCTCTGCTGGGATGATAGGGGTCTTGCCTGAGATGGTCCAAAGGTTTCCTAGCTGAATTAATAATTTGTCTACCAACTGTTGCCTTGCTTACTGTTTTAAAAACATCTCCCCTTGCCTTCTTCCTATCTGTGTCTGCATATGGCATGTGCATACATTCATATAGATGTATGATTATATCTACTTATTTCTGTAATCCTAATGATCATCTTTTATTCTTGCTTTTGTTAGATGACAAAGAGAAACATACATATATTAAATTCCTTGTATCCAATGCGGCTGCTGGTTCTGTCATCGGGAAGGGTGGCTCAACAATTACTGATTTTCAGTCACAGTCCGGGGCAAGGATTCAATTGTCACGCAATCATGAATTTTTTCCAGGAACATCCGACAGAATAATCATGATATCTGGAGCATTCAATGACATAATCAAGGCAATGGAACTGATTTTAGCCAAATTGCTGAGTGAGGTAGTCTTTACACTCTTGACTTTTCCCTCATTTTATTGGATCACATTTTTTATTTTCCTCTCAGGATATTAATAATGATGATGAAACCTTTGTTAAGAAGCAGAAGAAAGTAGAACTATTTAATTACAAGTCCAAAGAAATCAGAGTGCAAGACAAAAATGAGGCTCATTGTTCTACTTTATCTTGTACTGGTTCAGGCTCATGCTGAAGATGGCGATGATGCTGACCCTAAATCAAAAGTGAGGCTTATTGTTCCAAATAGCTCTTGTGGTGGCATTATTGGAAAGGGTGGAGCTACCATAAAGTAAAGCACCCTTACTTTATTTGTTAAGAATATCAGTGTTATTCAAAAAAAAAAAGTAGTGTTGCAACCTAGCATTCAAAGCTTTTGAAATTCTTGATTTGGAAAAAGGCTTCTATTAAGAAAGCTTCAGGTTAAGTTTGTTCATTGTCATTTAAGCCCTTTTCTTCCATCGAGGAAACCTTGAGCAACAGATAAAATGTCTGAGCTTCTTAATATAAAATTTAAGAACTTTGGTTGCCAGTGCCTTTTTGGTTTATTGGTTGAGTTTCTTGATGATGTTATATCACATATGAGTTGTTTTATATATACACATACATGATTTCTGATAAGGAAGTTCAAGTAGGACACTTAACTGGTTGGAGAAGTTTCCAAGGTAGATGATTAGTGAGTCAATGCCTATTTCTTTTGATGGGAATGTAGAACTGTTATTAGAACTTGGAGCAATGTGTATATACCTTGGGTTCTTATGTTTCTTTTCTTGGAAGATGGATTACTTGCTGCTTCTATTTTCTTGAAGCCATTACAACAACATTACATTACTGCCAACCACTGTTCTGATTGTCTTTGTCAGGTCATTTATTGAAGATTCCCAGGCAGGAATAAAGATATCACCCCAGGATCACAATTTTATTGGATTGAATGATAGGCTAGTGACACTGACAGGGTCTCCAGAGGAACAGATGCGGGCGATATATCTGATTTTGTCCAAGCTAACAGAAGATGCTCATTACTCACAATCTATGAACACTCCATTTTCATATGCAGGTGTGATTTTATGAAGTAGTGTACATGATGCTACCATGTTTTCCTTTTATTACTGGCTTCTCATCATAATTACATGCATCAATTGAGCATATTTTTGTTTGTTTAACTTAAATAGAAAAAGTTTTTTCTTGATGCTTTTTTTTTCTCTTTTTATTGATTCCGAGTACTGTTTTATATGGTTTTGGCATTTTAAAATCTCAGTATCTCTGGTTAATGTTACTGCACAGAGGATATGCAATCCACTTATGGTTCATTTTAAGAATGAAAGATTATAAAATATAGAAAATTATTAGAGAGATTTCTTGTGAAAGCTAGGACAAGAGAAGAAAGATCACCTCCTCTAGTGGGATTTGGTGTGCAAAAGCAAAGATGATGGGGTTTGGGATTGAGTAGGATTAGAAATAAGAATACACTCTCTTGGAAAGCGGTTTCTGGGATTCCATAATGAACCTTCATCTTCTTTTTGGCATTTGGTGATAAAAAGCAATTAGGGCTTACTTGTAAATTTTTTTTGATCAGTAAAAAAAATTTTATTAATATCAATTTCAAGTATTACAAATAGGTGGAATTTCCACCTTAAAGACAAACTTTATAATTTATAATTTTGCCCAAAACATTTGGTGCCTTGCTGTCCCTTGTTTGGCCAACACATCTGCCATCCCATTTGCTTATCTTCTCACCCATTTAAAGACAGCATTTAGCTCCCTTGATATGATTTCTATTTCCTGAAAAGTATGTCTATAGACCCATGGGATTTGGGAACTGCATCTTGTCCATAAAATGACCACCTGAGATTCCCCTTCCACCTCCAAGTTGTGGAAACCAAATTGCTTAGCAACTTTTAACCCGTGGAATAATCCACACAGCTATGCTGTCAATGCATTTCCATCTGTTAATGGTCCTAAATTTAATGCTAAGACCTTTCATTCTGTGTCTCTGAACACCCTCCCAGCCTAGCTGCAACTTGACTACCAATATAACTCCCATAAAAAATGAGTTTAACAAAGTTGGTTGTTGGGGGTCTCCATTCCATATTTACCCTTTCCTTGGCTTGAGCTGATAAAGCTACTTCCTTCAAAGTTCTTACATTGTCATTTGTTGAGAAACCTTGAAAATCCTCTAGGGTCTTCACCCAATGTGCTACTTTAATATTCACCAAACTAAATATTTCCATTTCTGTTCTACTCTTTTCATTAAAAATCTTCCCATTCTTTTCTTCCCATACGGTCCATATCATGGTGGCTCTCATTGCTTTCCACATAATTCTTCCCCTTTTCTTTGGTTGTCTCAAGAAATTTGGGTCAAAGAGACCCACCACATCTTGAGGAGTCCACTTGCACCCAAAGCAGTGATTTAAAAGGCACGCCTCAGGTGTGCCTAGGCGCACAGGTGAGGCGCATTTTGGGGTATGCGCCTCACCCAGGTCCTAGGCGCCTAGGCGTGCGCCTGATGCGCCTTGCGCCTCAGCCCAGGCATGCACCTTTTTAAAATTTTGCGCCTTTTGCTTATTTTTGAGTCTAACGGCTGGGCCGGGGGCTCTACCCCTTGGACCCCTGACCACGCCCCTCGAGGCAAGCCCGAATAAGTCTATGTTAGGGTTTAAAATTCTTATTTCTCACATAAAAAATTATGGTTTTATAACTTTCATTGCCCTTTAAGAAGATATTTTATTGCAATGAATGAATGAACAACATTAGCTACAAAGAGAGTGAAGCTACAAGGAGACAACTCAATAGAAAAAAGAGAAATACATAGACCAAACAAAAGGGTAACTATTAAGCCAGCTCTAGAATGTTCCAAAAACCAGAACCAAGGTCTTCTTTTGTAATTCCTTCAAAACTTTGGGAGAATAAGAACCCAATCCATAATTCTTTTGGTGCATAGTAGTGTCATATGCTCACTTGTTTGAAACTTCACTTCAAATATTCTTCTATTTCTTTCTTTCCAAAGTTCCCAACAGACAACAAAAGGCAATTACCAAACTTAGGACACCCCAGACCATGAGGGTAGTGGGCCACATCGAGGGATGGAATGTCTCTATCCTTGTAGACAGTGGTAGCTCCCTGAGCATTATATTGGATGAACTCACCAGTCAATTGGGCCTTACAGTACAGCCCATTATAGCTTTTTCAATAATTGTGGCAAATTGGAGCTTGATTACATGCTCAGGGGTGTGTTGGAAGGTGGGCCTTAAGGTCCAGAATCATTTCTTCACAGTAGACTTATACCCTTTGGGGTTCTTAGGTAATGGCATAGTCCTGGGGATGCATTGGCTAAAGCAATTGGGCCTGATCTTGAATGATTGGACCAAACTCTCTATGGATTTTGATTTCAACGGGAGGAAATGTCAGATTCAGGGGTTTTATCCTCAATCACCTAAGCAAGAGTCTACCCATGTTATTCTTAAAAGCTACTAGCATCTATACATGTTAATCCTTATGCATTTGGGCTCATGGGCCCTGGACCCAATTTTGGTTTCAGAAGACCTCGAAAGACCCTGAAGTTGATAAAACCCAACTTCAGTCTCTCCTACAAGAGTACCAAGATGTTTTTCAAGAGCCTTAGGTCTTGCAACGTACAAGGGTCCATGATCATAAAATTCCCATATGTCCAGGTGTTGCACCCATTGTTGTCAGGCCATTTCGCTGCCCACCATATCAGAGAACTGAAATTGAGAAAATGGTGAATGAACTTTTGGCCGAGGGACTGACACAACCCAGCAACAGGCCTTACTTGTCCCCTGTCATATTAGTTAAGAAGGACGTGACTTGGTGTTTCTGTATTGACTATTGAGCTTTGAACAACATTGCAGTTAAAAGACAGGTTCCCTATACCGTTGATAATGAACTGTTTGGTGAGTTGGGCTAAGCGGTGTTCTTTTCTAAGTTAGATCCGAGGTCGGCTTATCATCAAATAGGAATGCACCCCAGCAATGTTCATGAGACAGCATTCATGGCTGCAGATGGTCACTATGAATTTCTGGCCATGCCTTTTGGCATGACCAGTGCTCCTGCCACTTTTCAAAGCCTCATAAATGATGATTTTGGGCCTTTTTTGCATTGTCATATATTGGTATTCTTTGATGACATCTTGGTGTACAGTCCCAGTTGGCCCACCCATTTGGAGTACCTATGCTGTACCTTGGACATACTGAGACACCATCAACTTCTTGCAAAGCTTTCCAAATGTTCTTTTGGACAAACTAAGGTCCAGTACTTGGGCCATGTTATCTCAGGTGGAAGGATACAAATTTATCCAAAAAAGATCAAGTGTATGGTGGATTGGGCCCAACCCACTTCATTGTAAGGCTTGAGTGGATTTTTGTGTTTAACCTGTTATTTCTGCTGGTTCATCAAGGGTTATGGCTTCATGGTTGAAACCCTTACCAGACTACTTAAAAAGGGGCCTTTCCATTGGACTGAAGAAGATGAACAAGCATTTGAAACACTCAACCACAATAACTTTGCCGCCCATCCTAGTGCTGCCTGATTTTCTAAAGAATTTACTATTGGAAGTGATGCATCAGGGAGAGGAGGGAGTGCTATTTTAATGCAACAAGGCCAACCAGTAGCATATTTTAGTAAAGTGCTCTCTTCCCAAACACATCTCAAGTCTGCGTATGAAAAGGAATTGATAGCAGTTACTTTGGCATCCAAAAATGGATGACCTATCTTTTAGGGCAGCGCTTTGTGGTGAGGACTGATCACCGCAGTCTAAAACACTAGTTGCAGCAGCGGGTTATAAGCCAGAGCAACAGAAATGGACTGCCAAATTATTGGGTTATGATTTTGTGATTGACCATAAACCAAGTCCTTCTAATGCCGTGGACGATGCTTTATCCAGGCCCGAAGAATTAAGATATATGGGGGGTCTCATAGTTGCAGCTTCTCCTCCTGTATTAGATCAAACAAGAAGCCAAGGAGGATTTGGAATTGGCCCTGATTTGAGCCCAGTGGGCTCAAGATCCCAGTAGTGTGCCTGGCTATTCAATGGATGGGTCTGCTCTATTTTTTTTTTTGAGAAAATTTAACCAAGATTTATTGAGAATAAAAGGGGGGGGGGGGAACAAAAGGAGATATACAAAACAGGGGGGGAACCCGTGCAAGTTACAAAGGAGGAAGCTTGTCGCTATACAGATGCTCCAAATACACACCAAATTTAGCTAGGCCATCTGCAGTATGATTGTATTCCCTAGGAATCCAAACTAAGTTAACATTCAATCCATCCAAAGAATCCCAAGCTTCAGTCAGATAGTGATAAAGTCTCCAAGGGCCCCCTTTTTTGTCTCTTAACCATTTTATTGTATTTTCTGAATTACCTGCAATGATCAAATTCTGAATACCCAAATTCTTAATTATCCTGATTCCGGTTAGAGCAGCCATCACTTCAGCCTTTGTGGAGTCAGCCCAACCGATTGGGCCACTAAAAGTCCAGCAGATATTGCCCCTTTCGTCCCTTACTGTACCACCAATACCTGCAAAACCCAGACTGCCTAAGGCACAACCATCAAAATTAAGGGTTATCATACCTTCACTGATGGAAACGGGATGCCTAAAGGGAGTTTGCTGAGGATGAGGTAGAAACAGAAAGGGGTGAATATTTCTGATAATATCATTGACTGAAAGTCCTTTAAATAGATCTGAATTCACCGACCAAAGGATGCAAAGATAGGTAATATCTGAGATTAACTCCTCCAAGGTTCTGCTTTTATTGTCAAAGATACGGGTGTTTCTTTCATCCCAAACGCCCCACATTACTGCGAGGCACTGATTGCCAAAAGACTTTACCCCTTTTGCTAAGCCCTATTCCTTGCCAYTGATTCAAGTTGTCCATAATGTGTTTTGGAAAAGCCCAGCTGTACCCTGCCATATTCAAGAAATGGGACCATATCCTTTGAGTGAAGCTGCAATGAAGAAGGATGTGATCTGCAGATTCACCCTCGCTGAGACATAAAATACAAACATGAGGAGAAATGGAGCGTCTTCCCAAAAGCTTTTTCTGAAGGAGATCACAAGTATTAACTTTCTGGAGACGGGCTTCCCATACAAAGAAGCAAATTCTTGAGGGGATGTGGCTGCACCAAATTTTCTTGTAAGGAAAAGAGGGATGCTGATCTTCAGCAGTCAAAGCCCTGAACATAGACTTAGAAGAGAATTCGCCATTTGGGTGAAGGGTCCATATTCGGGTGTCAGAATGAGAGGGGGATATATAGGCATCTTTGAGGGTTTGGATGGTAGCCCGGAGTTTGGTCTGCTCTATTTTATGAGGGTTGTTTGGTGGTAGCCCGGAGTTCGGTCCATCATCATAACCTTTTACAGTTGTTTCATGATTTCGGCCCTTGGTTGGGTATTCAGGCGTACTCCGAACATACCAGTGGCTGGTGGCCCATTTTTTCTAGCCCAAAATGAAGAAAATGATGCAGACTTATGTAGCTTCTTGTGCAACTTGTCAGCAACAAAAATACATTATGCAGTCACCAGCTGGACTACTTCAGCCCGTCAATTCCAAATCAGATCTGGGATGATATCATGATGAATTTCGTCACAGGCCTTCCTAAATCAGCAGGAAAATCAGTGGTTTTTGTGGTGGTGGACCAAATGATAAGTACACCCATTTTGTTGCATTACCTCACCCATATACTGCCACTACAGTAGCACAGGCATTCATTGATAATGTAGCAAAGTTGCATGGCACCCCTAATAACATAGTCACGGATTGAGATCATATTCTACTAGTTACCATCCCTAAACCGATGGACAGACCAAGGTGATAAATCGTTGCCTGTAAACCTACCTAAGGTGTTTTATTGGTGAGAATCTGAAACAGTGGACACATTGGCTGCCTTGGGCTGAATACCAGTTCAACACCACTTTCCATGCCTCTACAGGACCTACTCCCTTCAAGGCTGTTTATGGATGGGATCCTCCTTCACTCTTACCTCATGAGAAGGGGTCCTCTGCTATTGCTGAAGTAGACCAGCAACTGCCAGTTCGTGATGAATTGCTTCAATCCCTCAAAAAGCATCTGCAATGGTCCCAACAAAGAATGAAATCAGCATATGACGAGAAGCATTGAGATGTGGAATACAAGCCAGGAGACATGGTGTTTCTTAAGCTACATCCTTACCAGCAATCCTCTTTAGCTTGTCGGGCTTGGCAGAAATTATCACCCAGATACTTCGGCCCATTCAAGATCTTGGAATGGATTGGTCAAGTAGCTTACAAGCTGGATTTACCAGCATCTTCCAAGCTGCACCCAGTCTTTCATGTGTCTCTCTTGAAGCCATTCATTTCTCCCTCCGCTTCTGTTAGTTCAACTTAACCTCAGTTCACTGATGATGGAGAACTGCTTGTCCAACCTCATAAAATCACTGCTGATAGGTGGATCAAGTCTGGCAATCGTACCATCAAGCAAGTGTTAGTACAGTGGTCCAACCTTCGAATTGAAGATGCTGGACTTGGCTAAGCTGCAGCAACAGTTTCCCTCCATCAAGGCATCAATCTTGCAGACAAGGTCGATATTTAGGGAGAGGGAGTTGATAGAACCTAGAGATCAGTGGAGGAACAGGACCCATACACTTGAGCTTCATCCTAGGCCCAGGATCCAAATCGAGTGCTGACCCACAGAGATATTCCCTACAAACCACCTCTTAAATATGTATATTCTAGAAGGACAGGTCAACAGAGATAGTTATTGGGTTGTTATTCTTGATGGAAAATGGATGTAAGAGGCTATAAGTAGCTATTCGAACAAAAGGAGGAATACAAGAGAAAATTTCCTCCAAATCTTCTTCCCTCTTCTGCTGTGTGTATGTGTATGAGTGTAGGAGGCAGAGCTCCCTTGAAGAGTTGAAGTAGCTCTGGTTCTCTGTCCTGCTCTCGGCTTTAACACTCTACCTCCTTGTTCATCATCTTCTTTTCTTATTTGATTCTTTCTCTTGGACATGAACAGGGTCTCTGCCCCCTTTTCTTAATTTTTTTTTTTCTGTTTCTTTTTCTACTTTTTTCCTTCTCTTTCTTGGACCGAAATGGGGCCTCTGCCCCTCTTTTTTCTTCTCCTTTTCCTTTGTTTTTCTTTCATTTTTTTGCTACTTTCATTTTTGTAAAACGGGGGCTATATAAGTATTTCTTCAAGCAGCAAATTTGCTCACCACTTGGAGATCGAAATCCTGGTGGATGAATCTTGTATTTCCTTCTTTTAGATCCCTGTTCAAGAAGGCATTTTTGATGTATTGCTGATGTAGTGGCTATGCAAGGTCTGCAACAAAAGATGGAATAACCCTTAGAGTTTTTCTTGGTGACAGGTGAAATGTTTCAGTGTAGTGAACCTTATACATCTGCATAAATCCCATAGAGTCTGTTTAGTTGCTAAGAAAATTAGTATGGGAAAGGATGAGACGAAAAAAATGAATTTTATTTCTCATTTTGCCATCTTCTTGTATTTGGTTGCTAAGAACAAATATATGAGAAAAAAATTTCTTTTCTAGTGTTTGGTTGCTGAGATAATTGGGTTGGTTATATAAATTAGTCCATTTTTTGCTCTCCAGTTGGCATGTTTAACAATGTACACATTGGATTTGCATGCTTTTAATGTCTGACATGACAGAAATGAGGAACCACATATCATCAGATGTCACGAAGGTGCCTTTGTGATGATGTTTTGAAAATTGACCTGGACACTGAACCGGTGTTCCCTCTGGGTGGATGGCTCACCAGTTTAATTACAGGTCAATGGGTTGGCCTGTGATGTCATAACAATAAAAAATAAAAAATTGACCCAGAAACAGGTTGAATGGGTCAATGGTTTAACCATCTGGGTTGATTGGATCATTCACCAAGTCTTTTTATTTATTTTTTGTATTTTTTTTGCAATCTAGCAGGTTATAGGTTAACTGAACCTATATTCAGGACCAGGTCATCAGGTCAACTGTCTGACTGGCTGGGTCAATGGAGAGTTGAAAACATTAGCCACATAGGAATGGGGATGTGAAAACTTTCACTTATTGCTCATTTTTTTATTTTCTCACTAGGGTTGCACCGTTTTAGTGAGACCTCACATCTCTCATTTTGGGACTTGAGATTGCAGTGTTTCTCTTCCTCATGCCACAAAAGAAAAAAACGGAAATGGTATCTAATGGAAATATTCCCTTTTTTCTCATCTATTTCTCAATAACCAAGCTGACCCTTAGTTACCAGCTTGGCATTGTATCTCCATTGATCTATCAACCTGGCATTTTACAGAAAATCCCCGTGCACCCTACTAGTTCTTTCTTATCAGGAAGATCAACAAGCTCTCGTGTGTTTTTCATATAGAGCATTAATCTTTTCCAAAACGTCTTTGTTTAGGTATTTCTAGGGCCTTTGCAATGCCTATGGCACTAAACAGAACGGAATGGCAAGACAGGATTCATATAAATCCCATATAGTTGGAACAAGGCTTAGATGATGGTGACATAGTAGAGTTGTATCCTAGGAAATGTAACGTTAAAGCTGGCTTTTTAACAACAGATGGGGTGGCTAGGGAGGGATTTTGTTGTTTGATCCTCTTTTTAATACTTGTAAAGCTTTTTGCCTATTTATACAGTTGATACATTACTGAAGAAAAGTTGATAGAGCAGAGAACAATTATTGATGAAAAAAAATAATGCTTCACATTGCATCTCATGAACTGATAATTTTTGGAGAAATGTTAAAGTATATCTCATTAATAGGGGACTACAGGATCCCCAAAGTATACATTGACTGTACACCAATTCTCAACTTTCTCCATTTATCCATCACCACAGTAACATATCCTGGGTAAAAATATTACAAAAAATAACATTTCTCAGCATTTTCCTTACATATGGCCACCAGTACACCATTATAGTGCAGATTTTGTAATAATTTCTTCTTGCCTTGCTGTCTATTAAAAATTTTTCAGATTTCTCTCCAGGATGAACTTTCTAACACTTTCTACGAATCTATCAGTCAAAATTTTTGTGTTTACATTCAGTGGGTGCTAAGAATTCCTGCTTTGATGGAGTGCACTTATTTTCAATATGATGTGCTGTATTGGCACTTGAGTGCAGTGATAATGAGCAAGGATTTGAGTAATTTGACGGTAAAAAATGGCTCTTGATATAATGGTAGGGCAGGATTCATATGGAAATAGTTAGGATTAAGGCTGAGTTGGTTGGAAAAAAAATAATAAACTCAATCATTAGTGCGGTTCTATTTCCTAAAATTGATCATAGATTACAATTTTGTAAATGAGGGACATTCATGACCAATATTTCATGGTTCTATATGGTTCTGATTTAATCTTATCTATAGGACAGGTTGAAGTGAAAATTGATGCTTTATAATTTTTTCTTTAATTTGAACTTTTAGGTGTTAACTTCTCCGGTTTTCATGGTATTCCATATACATACATGCTTCCTTCTCTTGGAACAGTAGCATACAATGCAATACACTTTGGACCAAATGGCACGGGAGGAAAATTTCAGAATAACAAGGTTTGCCCCATTCTTGATTTGTTTGACTTTATCTTGCAAATGGTTACTGATTATTATATCAATGACTAAGCTCAATGCTAATTTAGGATGTCTAACTTGGAATGCTATTAAAAAATGCTTCATAAGTATTAGTATTATCTTCTACTGTAGTTACTGATAAATTAATTTTTAGGTCCCATTGTTTTCCAGGTTATGTTTGTCAGAGTTGGTCCATCTTTTTTGGTAGAACATCAGAGTTGATCAATTTTGAGAAATGATCTTCCATGTCAGTTCATGTTTTTGTTTTTGGCACTTTGCCTCAGCAGCCCAGTTTAGTGAATTATGAAGTAGTTCACTGTTTTGGACTTACAAAATGCTGATGTTTATAAAAGGCCACTACCCAATGTTGGTCCTAGCTATCTGGACTGGAGTCTTCGGAGAAGTGGATTTGGACCTAACTTATTGTCATTTTAGCTGCTCTCAGACTCGAACCTACGCTCTCACACTTGCCAGCCTGAAATTTTACCATTAAACCAAGCAATAATTGAAAAGCATTCCCTAAAACTCGGAAATAATTGCAAAAATCCCTCTTTTGTTCTCTTTGGCTGATAACAAAGAGGCCACAGTTGCCGAGTGCTTTGATCTGATCCGGGAGAGGTGGTTTTCATGACTAAGAATTGGAGGAGGGGTGTCCAATCTTCTGAACTGCTTAATTGCCTTCTCTTTCGATCCATTTTTGCATGATCAGTGGACTTGGAAATGGAGTGCTGATGGCATTTTTACAGTCAAGTCCTTTGCGGATGGTCTAAGTGATTTGAGGGATCTGAGTTTCCTGTAAAACAAGTATGGATTCTTTCCTCTCCTTCAAAAATCAACTTCTTAGTTTCACATGAGCTCTTGGCAAATGTCTGACTAGAGGCAACCTAGCAAGGAAAGGTGTTCCCATTGAAGATATGAGTTGTGGGGTGTGTGGGCAAGTCCAGGAATCCATTGATCATCTGTGCATTCACTGCACGACTGCTTGGGCAGATCCATATTGCACATGGTTTGAACCAACCCTCTTGGGAAGTGAAATATATACGTGGAATTTTTGTTTACTAGACCAACCCAACCGGGGAAGGGGCAAGAAAACTATGTATCTGGGTTCACAGAATGTGCATCTTTTTGATGCTCAAAATGGGCCAGATTTATTTATTTCTTTTGAAAGGCCATGGACATTGCCAATCGAGGACTGGCTCGTTGGTGTGTTAGCTGGGTTACTCCAGCATTGACGCAGAATCAAGTCCTGCAACCAGCACTTCGGGGAAAAAGGGGTAAAGGGGAAAGTTATGGGTGATTAATAAAAAAAAAAAGGCCATGGACATTGTAATTTCATGAAAGAGAGAATTCATCATATTAACGTTGCCGTATGAGTTGGGTCTAGATCCTTGGGATGCAATAAGTTGAACTCTTCTTGGATGGGAGAGTGCTGCATTCTTTTGGATGTGATTTGATGTCATCTTAGGTCAAAATTTACGTTAGTTAAAATTTACAATGCTTTTGGCCCTTAAAGTTACCAGCTGTCCAGATGTTTTCTCATTCTTCACAAATTTAGCTTAACCTTGAGTTTCCAATATCATATTTGGGCAAATCACATTTGTGTGTGTGTGTGTGTGTGTGTTTACGTGCTTGGAGTTCCTTCTCATCAAGCCCCTCTGGTTGATCCAGGAAGATCGAGGCAACTCTGTGACAATTGGTGTTGCTGATGAACATATTGGAGTAGTTGTTGGTCGTGGTGGAAGGAATATAATGGAAATTAGCCAGGTTTGTAAGAAATAGCCTCCAGTTTGCTTATTTGCTTTGTTGTGCATAATAGGAATTAGCAGGTGCAATAAATAGAGTCACTTTGTTCTGCAGGTCAGTGGTGCCAGAATAAAGATATCAGACCGAGGTGATTTTATGTCTGGGACATCTGACAGGTATTGACTATGGCTTCTTGATATACACTTGTACGCTTTCTGGTGTTTTGATATGTGCCTGTATTTGTCTATTTCATGTTTCCCTGTTAATTTGGCAGGAAAGTTACAATCACAGGGTCACAAGGAGCAATACGTGCAGCTGAAGCAATGATAATGCAGAAGGTTGCTTCTGCTGCTGAGAGGTGATTGATGCTTTCTTTGCGGCTCAGTAGTTTTAAGTTTTTTCCTTTGCTTTTGTTGAGAATTTATTTCGTGGACACTAGGCCAAGTTAGTTATGATTTTTTATAGTGATGAGTTTGGGAACTGTGTCCGCATATCTTACTTTCCTGACATGTCAGTGAACTATGAAATCTGTGGTGAGGGAAGAAAAAAGGAGGAAAAAGGAACGAGTTTCAATTGGGCCTGGTTTGGATCTTCTGTTAACTTCTTTGTGGGCATTTCTCTATCATAGGGAACAAACTCCTTTAGATGCTATAGAAGTTAAAAAGTCTAACAAGATTCTAAAAAACAGTGGGCTGAGGCTGCTGTAACTGGTTTTGTAGACCAATGTAACCGTAATTAGAACATATCTCTCTGTATACAATTTTAAACTTTTTTAAGTGATATATCAGTTTTGTACTCTATCACACACTTTGCTTTTCTTAATCCCTTCACATGTATATGTGCGCTCTTCGCTTCTCTTAAATCCATTTTCGCTTTGATTTGAAATTTTATGTAAGCTTATCTGACCTTGCACCATTCTGCAATTCTGCTAATGCTGCTGTATCTGTTAAGGTGTTATTCCTCCTTAACTAATTGTGCTAGTTTTAATATTGAAAGGATGTAGGATACAAAAATCTTTGATGTGTGTTTAAATGCATATTTATCTCTAGCCTAGGTTAATGATGCGTGTCAACTGTAATGAACTAACAGTCCATATGGCAGCTCCCACTTGACGAGTTTGGATCTCTTGCCAACAGAATATGTTCCAACACCCTTCCAACATGATCCCGTACTGCACATCTCATACATGGCAGCTCCCACTTTTATGTTGGGTCTCCGTCTCATGGTGAGATTTGCAGTGTCGGGTCATGTTAGAAAGTTGTTGGAATGTATTTTGGTGGTAGGAGATCCCAACTCTGGAAGTCTGGATAACCCAGGCTATGCCTCAAAAGAAGGCCTGATCTAGATATGTGGCAAGGGTTTTGGGGCTGAAATTTGCTAGGGTGATAACAAGAAAGTCCGGATTTTTTGGATCTTTTTTTTTGATCAATAACAGTAATTTTATTAAAAATATATGGAAATTACAACCAGATTGGAGGGGTAAGAAATCTTAACCCTCACTTACAGAACTGAAAACACCTATTACAATATAGCCCAAAAGAAATTAGGTCTTCCCACCCCCTGTTTAGACAAGGTGTCAGCCATGGAATTAGTGCTCCTCTTGGTCCATTGAATTCTTACAATCATATTCTGAGTTAGCTGCTTGATTTTCTTTCTTTCATTTGAGAACTTTCACAGGCTAGACTCTTCCTTCTGCAACCAACTAACAGTCAATTGAGAGTCTCCTTCCACCAGCAGCTTACTAATATTCAACTGCTTAGCTCTTTTTACTCCTTTTAGAACTGCCAGGATTTCAGCTCTCAGAGAATCCCCCCAGCCTATAGATCCTGAGAACAAAGCAATAATTCGACCTTCTTCATCCCTGAAAATACCACCTATGTCTGAAGGGCCTGGATTACCTTCACTGCTACCATCGAAGTTCAATTTGATGAAACCCAAATCTGGTGGAGTCCAAACAGGTTTAATAGCACTAGACATAGGAGTTGACCGAGCCACTTCTTCCCAGTTTCTAATGATGTCTCCTACTAAATAGGCTTCAAAAAGCTTGAAAGACTTGACCCAGTGTGCCACCCTAACATAAACAATTTCTATGAGGTCTTTCTTGCTTTTTTTCTTTTTCATGAAATAATATTTGATTTCTTTCTTCCCAGACCGTCCAATAAATAGCAGCTCTAGCACATCTTCACAAAATTTTACCTCTCTTCTTTAAACCCCTCACTTGAGTGGAACTGAATAAGCTTTGCACGCTTGAAGGGGAGGGCCACCTACAACCAAATAAAGAAAAGAACCAACACCAAATCTCTGAAACAAAAGGGTAAGAAACAAGCAAGTGATAACAGCTTTCACCATTCTTCTTACATAAGATGCACCAATGCGGAGATAAACACCAATTAGGCCTTTTCTTTTGAAGTATGTCACAAGTGTTACACTTTTCTATGATTGCTTCCCAGCAAAAAGCACCTACCCTAGGAGGGATAGGGCTACCCCAAACTTCCCGGACTGGAAAAGAAGACCCAGGTACTGGACTAGGCTGTGTCAATGCTTTGAAAAAAGAGGAGTAGGAGAAGATATCCGAAGGGACAAGGGACCAAACCCTAGAGTCCACACTGGAAGGTTCAAGAGCTACCTCATCCAAGATTTTAAGCAAATTCGAAATGGGTTCCAACTCAGAATCTCTGAAAACTCTTCCAAGACCCAAGTTCCAAACAATAGCAGAATTACCGGCTTTTTTGGATCTTCACCCAAGTTGCCTTGTGAAAGATCCCTTATTATTAATATTTTTGTGAATAAACTTTATTATTAATATTAATTTTTACTAATTACCATAAAAATATTAATATGTTAATGTTATTATTATAATCTTATTTAATGTTTGATGCTTAGATATAAAAAACAGTTCAATTCAATTATACATGGGTCTAGAGAATCTGGATATAATCCCAACACAGGATCCCACCATCCATTCCAACTGTGCATCGGCAACACTATAACACTGGCTGCAGGCTTTGATGAGTGTAATAAATAATGGGAATGCTTATTCGATGCGCATGTGATGCACTTACGAACCAAAGTCTAAAAGACTAAAGCTAAGCATACTCCCACTGGCATATGCAATGAACATTTTGTTAACAAACTGGTGTATTAATGCTTTAAAAAAACCAAATATGCGTTGAGGTGCTTTGGTGAATGAGGTGCACCCACATGACCCTACCCTTCGTAGCACTAGGGTGCCCCTCTTTCAACCTTTGTCCAACTCTTATAAGGCCTTGGTTGCATTATTTGTTTTTATCAGACCATTTCACTCATCTCTTTTTTGTATCACTTGTTAAGATTCTCTTGGTTGCGTTTGGTTTGATAAAAAATAAGAGAGACAGAGTTCAGGGAAAATTTATGAGGCTCAGTTTGTAGTTGCTGTAGTTTAAATTCATGGGCGTACAAATAGGTAGTGTAAGTTCTGATTTACTTCTTCAGATTTGACTTTGTTTTCTTTTCTTGTAAGAAGTAAAATTAATGTCTCTATGGAGGGAAATTTGTTTGAGTGAGGGAGGAAGGAAGATGATGTGGTCTCCACAGGAGAGGATTGAGGCAGAAGAAATGTGATACAAATTTTATATCGATTTTTGAGATGCAAAATTTGCACTACCAATAAATGCAAATGCAACAAAAATATAAATTTTGCATTAGATAGGAGTGCATATCATAGTTACAAACAAATGGAGCAAAACCAAACCGGGTGCAAAATTTGTACATGTTTCAGATTTGCTCTGGGAACACATAAAGAGATTAAGAACTTCAAAACAATCTTTAACAACTTTCCCTCGATTTTTCGTTAGGATTCCATTTTTAGTTTCACTTCATGTTTTTGAATTCTTTTTTTTGGTCTTGACACGTATTCATGTCAACATTTTTAATCTATGTTCTGTGAAAGAAAACACGTTTCTATTTTTTCACTTTGGTGGATAAGTGAAAAGAGAGTTATTTATACTACTACGTGTTTGGGCTAATATACTAAAGCCTTGAGATAGTTGGAACGCATTAAGCCAAGCTCTTTATTGTTTTAGCATCGTAACCCACACAGAAAAGTCATTCTTCGTCAAGAGAGGGGTCTTGATATGAAGATGGAAGAATGGTGAATATGACCCTTAATAGCTACAAGTCAGAAGGGGAAAATTCAGCAGACCCCAGCTCATGATCCCCTATCAAATGGACTCCAAGACTGTCCATTGAATTGTTTTAGCATCGTAACCCACACAGAAAAGTCATTCTTCGTCAAGACAGGTGTCTTGATATGAAGATGGAAGAATGGTGAATATGACCCTTAATAGCTACCAAGTCAGAAGGGGAAATTCAGCAGACCCCAGCTCATGATCCCCTATCAAATGGACTCCAAGACTGTCCATTGAAAGCCATATATTTCCATGAAGTCATAGTTAGGATTGACAATTTTTCACCCAACGCGCTGAATCCACCCAATCCACCCAATATTTAATCCACCCAACCCGTTCATTTATTTGGGGGTTGTATGGTCAACCCATCACTCAATCTGTCCATTTAAATGTATTGGGTTGTGGATAACCATTCGGTTAATCATTACAGACATAAGTATTAATTCTTTAGTTCTTTTTTTTAATTTTCTTCATTTGAATTAAATAATTTATAATTAATACATTAATTTTCTATTAATTGTTGACTAAATTTAGTTTTGTCTTGAACCAACAAACTTCACTCAACATAAATCCAAATCAATGTGACCCGAGTTCGGACCAGTTCAACGTGGTCTGACTTGATCCAGCATATACCGATCCGGGTCGACCCGAATCCGAAATAGACCCTGGGCGGTATGGTTCAGTACCGCTTGCTGTGCCCAGTTTGGGTCATCTGGTCCAACCAATGTTCACACAGGCCGACACGACCTAGTACAAGCCGACCCGGGTCGACCCGCATTCGAAACAGTTCTGGGCGAGATGGTTTGGTGTCTGCATGCTTTGCTCGGTCTGGACCGTCCGTCCGACTAATATCCACACAACCCAACTTGAATCTGATTGACCCGATTTACTTGCATTGATGCGCTTCGGGTCAAATGGTTCGGTCCCAAACCCGTGCACAAACTTGATATGGTCCAATCCAAGTCAATCCACCATTGACTGAACCGGTCCGATCAAATTGATCCAGATCTAAACGGTTCAACCACCCTTGATGTGATTAGCTTGAAGATAATCCAATTAGATAGTTCAAGTTGGTCTGACCGGTTTGAACCTAAGTGGTTCGGTCAAACTCAAAATCTGAACATAGTCAAATGGCTTCACCGCTTGTGTAAAAATAACATGCATGTAATGTAATTTGAAGCTTCACCACTTGTGTAAATAGTAACTACAATTATCACCAAGCTATGACCAACTTATTTGTTAAGAGAGAGTTAGTTTGTTTTTTAAGTTCATAAATATAAGATTAATGGGTTTGGGCGGGCTGGATTGGGTTAAAGCGGGTTTGGTTGAACCCAACCCATTTAATTTTATATAACTGGGTCATTAATGGATTGGCGGGCTAGATGAATTGGGTTAAAGCTCAACCCAAATCAAACCCAACCCAACCCGTCCAATTGCCACCGCTAGTCATAGTTGCCCAAAAAATAGGGGCCCCATGTTTTAACTAATTAGTTGCCACCATCTTCCCATGGCTAGTGATCCATTCCCTGGTCATGCCTCAATTTGGGGAAAAAGATTTTCGGGTAATCATGGCTGGGTTTTGCACCATTGATAAGTGCAATAACCTGCTTGACATGGATTTCAGGCCTGAAACAGGCCC